GGTTGCTTCCTCTGTTTATAGCTTCAGTTAGAGAGTTGGTGCTCCACATTTCATACTGCTGAGGATGGGGGTGAGAGAACTCTTTGTAGCCACGGTTGGTGGGCTGTGTCTTCATTGTGTTACTTTATTAAAAGTTGTATTCTGGAATTCAGTTTTGCTGGTGCTGCATATCCCGTCTTTGGGAGTGATGCCCAGGGTTTTGGATTATTTTTCTAACTCAGAACTACTGAGCCTTCACTTCCATCAGTGATAACCTGCTCTAGATGAGTTATTCTTAGTTTTATCTTCTTTTTATACTCTTCCACTCATTTGTTGAGAAAATCAGAAGGCTTCTGGGTAGAGTATTTTACTCTTGCCTGTCTAGATCCCCTCTCTACCTTGCTGTATTACCTAGAGACTGACGTTTGGACTATACCATTGAGCAATGTTTCCTTCTAGTTTCTTTCTGGATTAGGTCAATGGCAGACACCAATGGGACATTAGAGGATAAAGCAGATTGAGGTGAGGATTTGTTCAATTGAGTCCCAACTTTCCAGGTCATGAGGGCTGGCAGCCCCCTACCACTATTGGGCAGCTATCTGCTATAGCTGTTGGTCTCTTGGGATCCTGGTAGCTGTTCCTCCCCTTTGCTCTCAGGTCTAGGGCCGGTAGGCTCCCTTTTTAATGACCTCAAGGCACTCTCCTGTCTCTTGCTGGTTCATCTTAGCTCTGGCCATACCATTGCAAACCTGTCTTTTATTCAAGTCTCCCCATTCCCTCTGTTTCCTGATAGTTCCCTGACTGGTGTAGTGCTGGTCATAGTACTATACATTGCAGTAGAAGAGGGTGATCTGGAGCTCCCCACGCATATCTCTTATGGGTCACTCACCCCAGAAAAGCCAAAATCAAGTTCTTGCCTTAGTTTTCTCTTTCAATTTTGCTAAATTAATACCAGCAGGGGTTTCCTGAACGCAGGTGACACCTTGACCCCAGCCGGTGTACAGGCTCTTTATACCATCACGAGAAGGAATTCAAGGATAAGTCAGAAAATAGTGAAAGTATGGAGATTTATTGCAAAGTGAAGAATACACACTTGAGAAAGGGGAGAGCAGGCATACTTAAGAGTCATGCATGAGGGATTTGAGGCTGCTACCTTTACGGGTTTCTCTAACCAAGGGGTGGAATATTCATGAAAACTCATGGAAAAAAGTGAAGATTTCTATGAACTGTGGTGCCACCCATTTTTACACCAAATATGGTGTTCCTGGAACTGTCATGGTGCTGTTGAGTGTGTGATTGAGTATGTTAATGAGCATATAATGAGGTCCTACGTGAAACCTAGGTCAAATCTAGCACCATGTTGGGTCCAGTCTGTCTTAGGCAGCTTGGTTCACACCCTGTTTTTCAGGGATTTATCAGCCCCTAGCTTCTGTGGCTATTTCAACAGTTTCCTTTTGCTAGACATGTGAAACCGCTGCCTGGAATTTTCTGTTCTCCTGCAATCACTCTGTATTATTTCTGTCTCAAAATCATTTTTTCTTTTTAGAAATATTAGCTTTGGGTGGTTATTTTTTCAAACGTTTTCTTGTCTTTTTTCCGGTTAGTGAAAAACAAAATGGCAAATTCTGGCAATTTCTCCCATTTCTGGTATGTCATTACCCATGGTGGTGGGAAGAAGCTTTTAATCCATAAGGGAACATTTAGTTTGTTTCTCTAAGATGTCTACCTCCCACAATCAGTGTGATTCCATCACAGTGAGGGGTATTTGCACGATTTTTTTTCAGAATTTTATCTACTGCCTTTCCTCATGGTACTACTTTTAAAGGGTGGAGTTGGAACCATTTTCCATCATATATGTATGAGTTTGTGCTCCTTCCTTAATTTGAGAACAGCCTTGGATTTTATCTATCACCTCTGGCTGTCTACTTATATAACTTACTGTTGCTTACTTCATAAGGTTTAATGATATATCTCTTTCTCTATATTTCCCTAGAAGACCATTGTGTGTGTGTGTGTGTGTGTGTGTGTGTGTGTGTGTGTGTGTATAGAAGATAACTATAGGAAGATTAATATGTTAGAAGGATTAGTGGCCAGAAAGAATGGGATCAGAGAGACCAATTAGGAGGTAGTAAAACTACAAAGGAAGACATGAATGGAGTGAAAGTCTTCAAGTGTTACTGGAGATAAGGAAAGAAGAGTAGGAGGGGATGATGGTGATATCTGGAGGTTGGATGACTGGCAATTCTGGAGCAGGAACTGGCTTAGGAGGCAGATAAGATGTTTATTATTATATATGTTAATTTTGAGGTACTGATAAAATAATTAGATATATCCAGCAAGTGGTTAGAAATTTCAATTGCGAGTTTAGGAGAAAATTGGAAATTAGAGAGACTTGGCTACCATTCACTTTGAACTATTACCAAGACCAGACTGTCAAATTAGACTCACAAATTAGAGCTCTTACTCAGCATCAGACTTCACTAATAATGTCAAGTCTAAAGAAATTAAGAAGTTGGGTAAAGTAAGAATGGTCTAGGGATAATTCAGTGGCCCCATAGATCCTCCTTTCTCACATTGGACATGGTCCTTGGCCCAAAACAAATGATGAGGTCTCTAAATGCAATTTTCAGTCACCTCACTAGGTGGGGAATATTTAGGTTATGAAACATTTCCTTTTTTCCCCTTTAAACACAGATCATTATAGGGATTTTGTGACTTTTAAAAAAGCACTCATAAGTCATGAATCCATAAAAAATTAGTTTTATTTTACATAAGTAATCCTGAATGGGGATGTTTTGCTATGTGGATTATCTGTATGCAAATAAAGACTCTTGTCATATCAAACCATTAATCTATTTCAGGAGATGGAGTGACCAACAGGTTTCCAAGGAGATTCGACTGGGTTACCTACCTCCTTACCTTAAGAGAATTCCTCTGTTAATGAGTAAAAACTGACCACAGACTAGCTGCCTTAACATAATCCTTCCCTTGCATAAACTCAGTAATTGAAATATTTGGAATGGATAAGAAACTGAAAAGACAGAATCTATAGAGAAAATTAAAATAGCTATTTTACAAATAAGAGGAGAAATAGGAACCAGGAATGGTAAGGGAAAGAGAAAATTCAGATTATTCCAATTAAGAAAATGAATTTAGTGTGACTGGGAAGTTTAACTTTAATTTACTTTCCAGTATTCTCTTTTTACTGTGTAAAGGAATCAAAATGTCAAAATACCAATGCTACTTTTCAAAAAATTAGAAAATACAATCCTAAAGTTTGTATGGAACCAAAAAAGAGCTCAAATAGCCAAAGCAATCCTAAGCAAGAATAACAAAGCTGAAGGCATCATATTATCCAACCTCAAATTATACTGTAACACTATCGTAACCCAAAAAGCATGATACTGGTATAAAAAAAAAGACACATAGATCAATAGAACAGAATACAGAATACAGAAATAAACACAGATAACCCACATATCTACAGCCAACTCATCTTTGACAAAGTCAACAAAGACATACACTGGGGAAATAACACCCTTTTCAACAAATGGTACCGGCAAAATTGGATTGTGATGTGCAGAAGAATGAAACTGGACCCTTATCTCTCACCGTATACAAAAATCAACTCAAGATGGGTTAAAGACTTAAATGTAAGATCTGATACTAGAAAAATTCTAGAAGAAAATCTAGAGAAAACTCTTCCGGACATTGGTCTAGGCACAAAAATCATGACTAAGACCTCAAAAGCACAGGCCACAAAACTAAAAAATAGACAAATGGGACTTAATTAAACTACATGCCTCCTGCACAGCAAAAGAAATAATCAGTAGAGTGAACAGACAACCTGCAAAATGAGAGAAAATACTTGCAAACTGTAAATTCAACAGAGGGCTAATATCCAGAATTTACAAGGAACTCAAACAACTCAACGACAACAAAAAACAAATAACCCTATTAAAAAGTGGACAAAAGACAGGAATAGATATTTTTCAAAAGAAGACAAAAAAATGACCAACAAGCATAGAAAAAAATGCTCACATTTCTAATCATTGGGATATTGCAAATAAAAGCCACAATGAGATATCATCTTACACCAGTCAGGGTGGCTATTATTAAAATGTAAAAAACAAACAGATATTGGTGAGGATGCAGAGAAAAGGAAGCACTTATATACTGTTACTTGCAATGTAAATTAGTACAACCTCTATGGAAAACAGTATGGAAATTTCTCAAAGAACTACAAATAGAACTATCATTTGCTCTAGCAATCCCACTACTGAGTATCTACCCAAAGGAAAAGAAATCACTATACCAAAAAGATACCTGCACTCATGTTTCTCACAGCACTATTCACAATAGTAAAGATAGGGAATCTACCTAAGTATTCACCAACAGATGGTTGGAGAAAGAAAATGTAGTACATAGGACTATGTTTTCTTTGTAGTACATAGGAATATACTACATAAGAATATTGTTCAGCCATAGAAAAGAATGTAATCACATCTTTTGCAGCAACATGGATGAAACTGGAAGTCATTATCTTAAGTAAAGTAATTCAGAAACCGAGAGTCAAATACTGCATGTTCTTACTTATAAGTGGGAGCTAAATAATGTGTACACATGGACATACAATGTGGAATAATAGACACTGGAGACTTGGAAAGATGGGAGGTTGGGAGGGAGGTGAGGGATAATAAATGACCTAATAGGTCCCATGTGCATTATTTGAGTCATGGTTACACCAAAAGGCCAGATTTCACCACTACACAATATATCCATGTAGCAAAACTGCACTTGTATCCCTTACATTTATACCAAAAAAAAAAAATCAAAATTTTACTTCAGAATAAAATTGTATTTCTCAGACTCCTTTGTGCTAAGAATGATCATGTAACTAAGTGCCTATCAGTAAAACCTAAGAGGAAACTTAAGAAAGTATGGAACTTGCTTCTCTAAAATGAGAAGTACTTTCTCTTTCCCTTCCAAAATTCTGCTGTTTAAAATGCGATGCAGAAGTGTCCTGAGAGGTCAGATTGAATTCAGACATGGCCCATGGACATGGATGTGAACATGGACACCATAAAATGGAACTTCCAGATTATAGACAATGGAAGATAGAAGGGACACCATTAGAAGATATCCAGAAGAAGCTGGCTGCAAAAGGGGTAAGGGATCCATGGGGCCGCAATGAAGCTTGGAGATACATGGGCGGCTTTGCAAAGAGTGTTTCCTTTTTTGATGTATTCTTTAAAGGATTCAAATGGGGATTTGCTGCATTTGTGGTAGCTGTAGGAGCTGAATATTACCTGAATTCCCTGAATAAAGATAAGAAGCATCACTGAAGATAATACCTAGAAGTATCATAGTGGTTTCTTAACTCTCCAAAATAAGATTTCTTCACTATAACCTACTCATCTGGGTTGTCCCTTACAGAATATTAGTAAGATTTAATAAAGTAAAATAAAATATATATATGCCAAAAAAAAAAATGCGATGCAATGGCTGAAGCTCCAGGAGCCATCTTGGATGATAAAAATCAGTCTTGCATTGTAGGCATGGTGGTCCAGAGAGCAGAAAAGATAATGGGCCCATGATAACCTGTGGTGTCCATGCCAACACTGGACTGATTATCTTCACTTCTCCTAAGTGAGATACCAATTAGCTTTCATCTGGTTTAGGTCACTGTCCATGGAGTTCTCTTCCTAGTTGCTACCCTAGGAAAAGTACCCTTAACTGGACACCCAGAATAACTCAGTATCAGTTAGCTCTGACTACGTTTCGTCTTCCACATAATCACCATCTTTTCAACAAAGGTTGCATTGTCAAACTACATGGATGGGATATCAATATTCTCCAGCATATTAGGACCTTAATAAAAAGAGAATCTAAACATGTTTAGTTTACCACACCTGTGAGGACTTTTTTTTTTTTTAACCTGATCTTAAGGTGCATTCTCTTTATCATAGGCAAGTTTTTCTTTTTGAGGATAAGATCTACCTAAATATTCATTTTGACTATTGTGATATGGGATATAACAATATATTACACTATCAATTCGAGTTAATCCAGTGTCTCTGTGCACTCTATTAAGTAATTTACAAGCATAATTTTATTTAATCCTTATAATCTTGTGACTGGGTGGTACTAGTGTTCCTGAGAGTCACTTGTCCAGTAAGTGGTTAGCCTACAGTTCAGAAGCAGGCTGTTTTGGTTTCAGAACGTGAGGTCACTAGGCTACACTATTTTTTAGCTTCTAGGTCTCTTTTTTTTTTTTTTGTACTGAAAGAGATGAAACCAAGGATTGGAAAGAATACCTCTAACTAACACTGAGATGGAAAACCTTGTGTGGTCTTTCCTTTGACCCCTCTATGTCTGCTAATGTACAGAGGAGTGTTTGAGGACATAGGCTCATTGTAATGAGAATTAACTAAGTGCACAACATTTCTGAGCTTTTGCCCTTTGCCCTAAAGCAAAAAGGCAACAGGTGGGACAGATAGATCCAATGGAGTTGTCAGCTTCCATGCACTGATAATTAGAAAAGACCCCCAAACTGGCCACTAAGATGGGAGTTCTGAGGCTATGGGTAGTAGAGAAGCAGGTACCTATGATGCTGTTTCAAAACTGAACTCTCTGAAATGTCAATACCAGAAAGTTAAAACGAATAGATGATTAGGAGTAGGCTTGGAGAAACTTGGGGTTAAAACAGTTCTCATGAGGCATTAAAATGTAGTCCTATAGCTCTCTGACTTTTTTATTTAGGAAGTGGGTCAACCAAAGTCTTCCATGAATTTCAAGGAAGAACAGTTTGAACATCAATAAACAGTAAACACACTAGTGAGCACATTTTGCTTTTTAACAGCATTGTAAAACTATGGGACAAAGAAGGTCATCTTCATCTGGACATACACAGAAACATATAGAATCCTTGAATTAGCACAGGCATTAGTGTCATTATTTTTGGAAACTGCAAAGAAAAAATATCTAGAGTCTCAAAATAGCAGTTTGCAAAAGAAAGCATTCCTTATTCCAGCTGTACATTCAGACATTTAAAATAACTCTTTTTCTTTTCTTTTCTTTTTTTTTGAAATGGAATCTTGCTCTTGTTGCCCAGGCTGGAGTACAGTGGCACGATCTCAGCTCACTGCAACCTCTGCCTCCCAGGTTCAAGCAATTCTGCCTCAGCCTCCTCAGTAGCTGGGATTACAAGTGCCCGCCATCACACCCGGCTAATTTTTGTACTTTTAGTAGAGACGGGGTTTCACCATGTTGGCCAGGCTGCTCTCGAACTCCTGACCTCAGGTGACCCGCCTGCCTCGGCTTCCCAAAGTGCTGGGAATACAGGCGTGAGCCACCACGCCCGGTCTAAAAGAACTTTTTGACTGCTAGGAAGAGGTTGGGTCTTCAGATGAAATCTTCTCAGGAGTCAATCAGCGTATCCATGGAGACATCACCAAACCAAGTAAGTACACCACCCGCCTCAGCCTATCCCGGTAGGGTAGAGTACAGCGATATTGCATTGCTTAAGTCCTCCCTGTCTATATTACAGCAGGAAGTTCTGGCACGATCATCTTTCCAACTACTGCTGAGGCTTCTGAAGGTCTAAGTCTCACACATTCCTTTTTGATCTTTGCCCATCAGTTCAGCTGGTCAGCTCACTCCAGCTGTTGCTGGAGTCTGTGGGCTGTGCCCCTCCACGTGGGGGCTCCCACCAACTGCATGGTGTAGGAGCTTGTCTACCTCTTCCAAAATTCCCCAACATAGGAGAGAGGAGAAAACCCTTCTTCCTTCAGTCAAGGATGAGGCTGCGTGCATTTCCTTTGATAGGATTTCCCTATCTTTTATTCACTCGTAATGGCTTACTATGAGTGAATCTCTTATTCACTCATAGTGGTTTACTATTCTCAAAATCTGAATATGTTCAGTATTTAATAGGTGGGACACTAGTAGCCCACCTTGGATAGACTTATGCCCGTGAAACCTAATTCCTTCCTTCATCCAGTGTGAAGTGAGGAGTAGTTGGCCCTCATGCATGGTCTCGATAATGTGACCTTCACTGAGTAAATACTTGGGCAGAAATATACACACACATCTACTAAAAACAAACACTTCTTTTCAAGGATTGTTCACAATCCACATTTGGGGTGTGCCTGGGGTCGGGGAGGGGGTCCTTTCTCACTGCAGGGACACAGTCTCACTAAAGATATAGCTAATTACATTACGAAAACGACATTAGTCTTGGTCTGAAGAATCAGCAGTCAGGTAATGAACAATGAGTGAGTATTACATGTACGTATAAATACACACACACGGGAGTGCATGCACACACACACACACAGAGGCTCCAGTTGCCAACCCTACACTGTTATGCTGAAGATACCTGCCAAGTCCTTCCCTGGGAGACAAGGCATTTTTGGGACGTGAGGTTATTGTTTAGGGTAAAATGAACTTCTTGTATTACCACTGGATTTCTCCTCATTTGTTTCTCTACATCCCTCTTATAAGTGGGGAATTCCATAGGAGCTGACAGTGTAAATGGTCTTCTCAGAAATCCCTCCCTACGGTTTAAAGAAAACCTATCCCCCCTCACATTCTGGCATGGAGCTGAGAGAAACCTGCACAGCTGTGAAAGGTAGATGAGCATTACTGAGCTTCCTCCAAACAATTCTCTCTAAACCATCAGTCAAGAATCATTTTCCTGGAGAATTTAGCTCTCTGGGGACTGAGAATCCTTTTCCCTTTGCAGTGCCCCAGTGGAAGCATTTTATTCATGCAGATAACAAACCTAGGCATCCTGCTGGCTTGTTTACATACTTAATAGAAATGCTGTTTTCCTCCCCATCCGTGCTTGAGGCTTGGCCAGAAGGGAGTCATCTCTGGGACTAAGAAATGTCAGAGCGTACTGCTTAGCCCAGATACTATGCTTGCTGATACTCCAGGGCTTATGGGTGGAACAAAAATGAAACCAGTTTGTTTTACTTTGTACAACCTTTATTATTTTTTAGATTGAAAATTCAGGATTTTTTTTTAAACAACCAGTGAAGTTGGTATCATTCTTTTCACCCAAAATTATTCATTCCCTATTTATTTAACAAAGAATTACTTAATGCTACTACGTACCAGTACCACGTAGGTGTTGGGAATTCAGCAAAGAACAAAACAAAGTTTCAGCCCTCATGGAACTTACAGTCTAGATCAATCAATCAAACAAACAAACAAAAAACCAGAAAAGAGTATTTCGTAAACATAATTTCTGATAGCAGTAAGTATTATGAGAAAAAGGAGAGCAGAGTAAAGGGCCAGGAGGTGACAATCGAAGGAATGAGGCAGAAAGGAATTGGAGGTAGTTTAGATTGAGAGGTCAGGAATAGCTTGGTTTCTTGAACACTGAGACTGTTACCGGAAAGGGTCCCAACCCAGACCCCAAGAGAGGGTTATTGAACTTCACACAAGAAAGAATTCAGGGCGAGTCCCTAGAGTAAAGTGAAAGTAAGTTTATTAAGAAAGTAAAGGAATAAGAAACGGCTGCTCCACAGGCAAAGCAGTGGCATGGGCTTCTTGACCGAGTATACTTGTAGTTATTTCTTGGTTATGTGCTAAGTGAGGGGTGGGTTATTCATGAGGTTTCCAGGAAAAGGGGGCTATTTTCTGGAACTGAGAATCCCTCTCCTTTTTAGACCATAAAGGGGAACTTCCAGACATTGCCACGGCATTTGTAAAGGGTCATGGCGCTGGTGGGATGTCTTTTAGCATGCTAATACATTATAATTAGCATATAATGAACTGAGCAGTGAGGATGACAGAGGTCACTTTCATCACCATCTTGGTTTTGGTGGGTTTTGGCTAGTTTCTTTACTACATCCTGTTTTACCAGCAGGGTCTTTGTGACCTGTATCTTTGGTTGACCTCCTATTTCATTTTGTGACTAGCAATGCCTAACCTCCTGGGAATGCAGCCCAGTAGGTCTCAGCCTTATTTTACTCAGCCCCTATTCAAGATGGAGTCACTCTGGTTCAAATGCCTCTTACAAGATAAAGAAGCCAGTCCTGCAAATATCTGGGAGAACTTTCCAAGTAGTGGAACTTGCAAGTCCAGAGTCCCAAGACAGGGGAAGCTTGGAGAGATGAGGAACAGTAAGAGGCTAGTGTGGCTGGAGTAAAGAGGGCGTGAGTGGGGCTGACATTGGAGAGGAGGCCATACTGCAGATCACCCAATCCCTCACAGGTCATGGTAGAGTGTAAATTTTTTCCCTAAATGTGAGGGGAGTTTGCCAGAGAGTTTTAAACAAGGAATTGACTTGGCTCTAAATTAGGGTTTAAAATTAAGCACTTGGCCCATTGCCATGAAAGTCAT